GGCTCTTTCCATAGTATGGCTATTGTGGACATTGCTGCTATATACATGGGGGTGCACGTGCCCCTTTGGATCCCTACATTTGTAGCTTTGGGGTAAATACCCAGGATCTCCATTTTAAACTTAAGTTGCAAATAACCAATAATTTATTGATTCCTGTCCATGGTTTCAGTTCAGGCCTTCAACAACTCTTTCCTTGATGTAATAAGTGCTTCCCTAATTGTTTTTCCTTCTAGTCCATCCATTCTTCACACTGTTTCCAGTGGCATCTCCCTAAAACACAAACTGGAGCATGTTACTTCTCTGCCCCAAACTCATCAATGGCTTCCTAGTGGCTCGAAAAAAGTTCAGATTCCTTAACATCTTACCCAGGCCATGCGATCAGCCTTCTACCATCACCCTCCACTCTTCTCCCATATCTACCTAAGATTTGCTTTTACTAAACTACTATATATATTGGATACCTCTCCTCTTGCTAAGCCCCTGAGCCTTTGCACATGCTAGTTCTCTGCCATAAGTGCCTTTCCCCCATTTTCCATCTGATTGATTCCTGCTTAGTTATCAAGGTTCATCTGAGCCCATCCCCCATGGTAAGAAACTGCACATGTCTATCATAATATCTATCACGCTATTTTTTTTAGATCCTGAAGTGTATGATTAGAAATTTTTCAAATATGACAAAAGTGTAAAGAAAGTCCTCCTTCCCAGCTTTCCCCAGCCTCACTCTTCTCCCTTGAGGTAACACCATTAATAGTTTAGTGTGTTTTCTAGATCTTTTTATCTGCATTTACAAACATACATATAAATAATGAAATCTAAGAATATAGTTCAGCAGCTTGCTTTTTTTTTTTCATTTCAGATCTCATGGGCATCTGTGCACATCAGGGCTTGAAAATCTACCACTTTTTTTTTTTTTTGGCAATTGCCTTTTCTTTAAGGAGAGATCAAGGAAAGAGACTTACTTTCATGTCTCCAGGGTTTTTTTAGAAATGTTAGAAAATCTTCATTTAATGCAGCAACTTGTCTTATTTTTATCCTTATTTTATGTCCTTGAATAAAAAATATCTACAGTGTTTTCCAGGAGAAATTTCAAGCAAAACTTAGTAACTGACATTTCTTATATTATTTATCTATGTATTCATTTATTTATATCATCACTCTTATGCTGTCTGAATGTTTTTTTGTCCCTATGACCCTCTGCCATATTTCTAGGACCCATTCTTTAATTTTTTATATTTGAATGAAACATTTGAGTATTTTAAAGTATTATTGAATCTGATTTTCACTGTGATTCTGAGAGCTAAGTAAGACAGAATTATTCCTCTTTAACCAGGTGGGAGTTGAGGCTTGGAGAAAGTTGCCTGACCACAGTCTGAGCATTCTGTCCCTCACCATCAACTGTGTCTATTCCTCTGATGATCTTTTGCTTGCTCAGAACTCACCATTGTGATATCCCAGCAGATATGCTCTGTATCTAGACCCTTTGATATATATAAAAAAAATCTAGTCTGTTTAGTTTTCTAAATGAAATTTAGAATGAATTTACACTAAAATACACTAAAATATTCAAACTAAAACAGTGACTTATTGTGGTACCCTTCTCAGAGTCATTATTATAGGAGTTGATGAATTACTCTAAATGAATGAGAATCACAGTAGGAACTGTTAGAGAAAATAGTTTTAATTGGAATAGACTTTTTGGTGTACCCCAATTTTATATGAAAGATCCTTTGAATCCACATCTCTGAGTGAAGTCATGCCTAGTGCTTATGTCTTAGGAGAACACAGCTAGCTCTTAGCATACTTTTTTTTTTTTTTGCATATTCTCCTTTATTTTTTCACATTTTTTCCCTCTGATCCATTTCAGTCAATTCTTAAAGTAATCCTGAAGGGAAAGTCAGACTTGCCTAGTTTCTTTGAAAACTTTTTTTCAGAATAACTGACAAAGTTTTTGAACTGTTGGTATTCATTTTTCATAACAACCCTTCATGAAAATGACCAAAATATTTTCAGAAAGTAGACCCCTGGGGGACCTCTTTACTGTGCAATTGCCACCTGACTCTTGAGATCTCAATTTAATTCTGTGAACTGAGATTTTTATTGCTACAGGGTGATTGGGAAAATTAATAGCAATCTCCTCAAAGCCCTTTGAGGTCCTTAGGGGCCATTTATTGTTTCAATAAGATATTCTCCTCCTACAGTGTACCTATTATTATTTATGAAACAATGAGGGCCCAATGAGGAATGAGGCTTGCCCCTTGCAAAGAGTTTGACTTTCTTCCTTATATCTGCATGAAAACATGATTTTTTTTTTCAAGAAGGATATTAGCACTGAAATCTCTAATCTTTATTCAGAAAGATAACTTTTTTCTTTAAATAAAGAACTAGGCTGCTTCTTTATCAGCTTGATTTTTTTTTTTTTTTAATCCCTGTGGTGCTTTTAAATATACATAGAAAGATGGTCAGAGACTCTGGTAAGACAGAGCAGTGTCCTGATGGGAATGAAGGAAGGTCAATAATATCTGTCCTCTGAATAGGGAAAGGGAGCTGCAGGTAGCATAAACAAGGGTCTGGGCAAACTAATTAATACATGAGAGGACATCAGGAAATAGCTTCTCTGGTTTGCTGTAAATGAAATTTAATGAACTTTAGAAAATTTTAGAAAAATCTGGGAATTATCTAGAAATACATCTTCTGGTTTCCCCTATTGTCTCAGTTTGTGAACCAACACTTTTTAAATTTTTGTCTAATAATGACTATATTAGTAGTAATAATAGAGATGATCACGTAAAGAGTATCCCCGATGAGCTCTGTGCTGAACATGCTATGTACAGATTGATTCTATTCAATCCTTCACATAGTCTTTGGGGTAGGTGCTGAGATCCTCATGTTACAGAGGAAGACCCTGAGTCTCAGCACTAACATCCTGCTCAAGAATTAAGAGCTAGTGGGTGCCTGGGTGGCTCAGTTGGTTAAGCGACTGCCTTCGGCTCAGGTCATGATCCTGGAGTCCCGGGATCGAGTCCCGCATCGGGCTCCCTGCTCAGCGGGGAGTCTGCTTCTCCCTCTGACCTTCCTCCTTCTCATGCTCTCTGTCTCTCATTCTCTCTCTCTCAAATAAATAAATAAAATCTTTAAAAAAAAAAAAAGAATTTAGAGCTAGTAAGTGCAGGAGTATGAGCCAAACATGCCCCCTCATGTACTTATGCTTGTTGACTTTTCCAAACTGTGGGCTGAGCTGCCATGTTCTTCATGTGAGATAAGCACAGTGGAAAACCAAAGTTGCAAATGAGGAGTGCCCCTGGGGACTGAACACTCTTCGCAGCATTTACAGTACTACTGATAAAGTAAATATTCCTGGGGCAATAACTGTGATATTTTACTGTATTCTTTGTTTTAGCTGTCATTTAGTCAGCCACATTTAATGGGCGTCCACTTTGTGAAACTGACTTAAATATTGTGTGCACTTCCTAGGGAAATATAGGATTCCTGATGATCTCTAGGAAGCTGTGTTGAGATGGTGATCCTGGGGAGATGCGGTGGGGGAGAAGGGATGTAAGAGGATGGGATGGATGATTAGTGCTCTTCACATTTTATGTTGTTGATGATTAGAACATTCTGAAAAAATTATTTTTCCTGACTTTTAATTTAGTATCCTCTTTCCGCTTTAACATGTAGCCTCATTGATTTTATCAAATTAATTAACTACATTCTCCACACCTTCATATTTATAAATTAATCTTCTGAAATGTTGTACCAATTTGTACTTTGATCAGGAAAGTGCACCTAAAGGGGTTGTCTCTAAGGATTTTTCTTTAAACCTGGAAAATTTCAAATATGATGTAAATTAAGTATCAGTACAACTAACAAACAGATTTGTGATTGGAGAAGACTAAAACGGTCTTGGTCTTTCTTCTTGTTCTGAATTGAAACAGCTAATAGAAAACAGCAGTGACGCTGTTCTTGGTAAGATGATGCTGGCCTTTCTTTATGACTTTTTTGTCTTTATAAATTTAAAAAAAGATATTATATGTTACAATAATATTACATATTATTAAATATTGCATGTTTACTTTAGAAAATAGAACATTGGTTGGCATTGCATAAAACAGAGCGACATGTGGCACTTGCTTAGTTAATTTCACTACCTTAACCACTTTAACTGAGGAACCTGGTAATCTGAATTACCGTGTGTGACTTCCTAATCATCTTCCCCTGCACACCCTCGCCGGTTCCTACCTCCATTAGCTTCCTCTCTTCCCTGTTTGTTTGCCGGGATGGAAAGAACCCTGAACCGGAGGTGAGGAGCCATGAGCTGCCTTCCAGTGCCATACACTAACAGTGTGTTCTTAGGAGAGGCGCTCTAGGACTGCGGTGGGTTGCAAACATGGCCACAGATTTATCAACTTTTACATTCTCACCCTTTGCATATATCTTCCCACACTGGCTCCTGGCTGGACCGTGTGACTTGCTTTGACCCGTGGACTTGAGCGAACGCTACGTGCACAGAGACTTGTAACGTGCTTGCCGATTGGCCTTGCCCTTTTGCTGCTCTTGGAGCTCTGTGACTGCCACCTGAAGAAGCCTGGGTTAGCCTGCAGAATGATGAAACACGTGTGGCCCCGTCTTCCTGTCCTCGTGGCCGGACACTGAGCGAGGCCCTCCTAGGTCAGCCAGTTGCTGGCTGAATCACTAGTGAGCCCAGCTAAAATTAGCTGAGCTAACCCAGACCAGAGGAACCTGCCTTAGCTGATTCGCAGAATTGGAGCGCCATAAATGGTGTTTCGCTACGTTTGGGGCTGGGTTGTTCACGGCTAAAGAGAACGGATACAAAATCCAAATAGAAACCCAAACAATGAGTGACAACGTATTCCCTGCCTACCCCAGAACATTGTTGGAGATTATATGAGATTAAAAAGTATATGATGGACAAAGCTTCTGAAGAGCAGTGCCCAGCAATGTTTTGTGTTTGATCATCAATCGGATGTTCAGTGAAGAAACGAATGGATAATAAGCTACACGATTATGAGGTGGCAGTTGCAGCAGCAATAGAATAGTCAGATATTCCAGATCCCCCAGGTAAGACATTTCATTTTTCTTTTTAATTTAAAATGTTAATATATCAGCTGGGTAGGGAGAGAATTGAAAAGAGCATGAACCAGGACAGAGCAGCCATGGCCATCTGAGGCACCTGGGCCCCCGTCACATTTAGGACAGCAGATTGTACCTATCAGGCTTTTCTCATTGTGGTCAGGAAGATACCACCAATCGCTATCTTTCCCATTGGCATTAAACTCTTCCCAGTTATTTGACTTTTATCTTTTTGATTATAGCCTATCTCGATTCTATCTGAGTATCATTCCCATGACAGTAGTTATAGTCTCCATAAAGAAAAATTCCTGAGAGCCAAGTTTAGAGGTATAGAGAAAGATTTCTAGTCTGTGGAGATGCAAGGAATAAAAGGTCAGTAAATCAGAATTTATATTTTCTGAGCTAAAGATAATTAACCCAAAAGGGTCTATAAGAAATAAATTTGTGTGCTTTGATTCATATTTTCTAGTGGAAATGAAAATGATTTCATTTTCTAGTGGAAAAAGATATTTTTTTTTCAATCTGGTTATACTGTAAAATAAATCCTGAATAGAGAAAAGTGCACAAAACCTAAAGGTACTGTTTATTGAAAGATTATAAAGCGAATACCCGTGTAACTACCACCCAGGTCAGAGATGGAGCCTTGCCTGCACACCAGAAGTTCCTTGCTATTCATATTCTCCCCCTCACACTCTGTCCTTCACGAACCCTAACCTGAACCTGAACTTGAACCCCAACCTGAACCTTAACCTTGTTAGGTTGACCACAATCCTTAATGATGGTCAAGTCCTTATTTAGCTTTATAGTTTTACCACCTCTGCAGAGTTAACCAGCTATGTGTGTATCTTTAAACACTACAGTTTTGTTTTGCTTGTTTTGAATTTTACATAAATGAAGTCATTCTGTATATATTCTTTTGCATCTTGCTTCTTTTGCTTAATGCTTTTACTTGCTTTGTGCAGCTGTAGCTTATTCAATTTCATTGACAGGTACTTCTCCATGCATGAATACATGAGACAATTTACTGTTGATGGACGCATCAGTAGCTTCCAACTTTTGGATCATATAAGCAACGTGGCTGTGACCATCTTTACGTATCTCCTCTTGCACATGCACACAAGTTTCTCAAGGGAGTGCCCTTTTTGGGCCATAAGATAAACATATCTTCAAATTTAGTAGCAGAAGCCAAACCATTTTCTAAAGTGGCATAGCCATTTTGCCTGCCAGAAGTGGTATGAGTGTTCTCAATGTTCCATGTCCTTGTCAGTACTTGATATCATCAGACTTTTAATTTATTCTTATTTTTTAAAAAGATGTTTTTATTTACTTGAGAGAGAGAGAGAGAGAGAAAGAAAGAGAGAGCGTATGAGCATGCGGGGCAGAGGGAGAGGAAGAAAGAATCTCATGCAGACTCTGCACTGAGCATGGAACCCAACGTGGGGCTCTAGCTCACGACCCTGAGATCATGATCTGAGCCAAAACAAAGAGTCAGCTGCCCAACTGATTGAGCCACCCAGGCGTCCCCAGACTTTTTAATTTTTGCCTATCTGGTGGGTGTGTAGAATTTCCTTATGATTTAAATTTGCATCTTCTCATTATTTATGAGGCTGAGCATTCTTTCATACATTTTTTAGCCATTCAGTTTCTTTTTATGAAGTGTCTGTTCAAGCCTTCTGTCCTTTTTTCCTACTCTTTGTGCCTTTTCTAATGTTTTGTAGTTTTTTTTTGTTACATGTTTTGTATATGAATCTTTGTCCCGTTTTACATGTTATGATAGCTTTTTCCATTCTTGGATTTTTAAAAATCTATTAATGTGTATCTTTTGATGAATTACAAAGTTCTTAATTTTAATATACTGAAATAGATCTAATTTCTCCTCTTTTGATTGCTTTTTATGTCTTATTTCAGAAAACCTTATCTACCTGAAGACACAAAGAAATCTCCTATCAGCTCCTAAAAGCTTTACAGCCTTATCTTTCACCATAATTGTATTACAGGTACTGATTCTTATCTGTGTATGAGCTGAAGTTGTAACTTCATTATTTTCCATAGGGATACATACTTCTTCCAGAACCATCAATTGAAAGGAACATTATTTCTTCACTGCCCTGCCATGCCTAATTCTTAGTTATAAATCAAGTGCTTAGGTATGCATGGGTCCATTTCTGGACTCCTTATTCTGCTTCACTGGGTTACTTGTCTTTTCCTGCACTAATGCCACATCTTCTTAATTATCATGACTTTATAATAAGTCTCGATATTTGGTAGAGCAAGTCTTTATACTTGGTTCATCCTCAAGAAAGTGTTAGCTATTCTCTCAGGGAAACCAGAAAGACAAGCTTGGAATCTACTGGAATCATTCAAGCAAAAGATGATGAGAGCCTGCTTTAGGATCATGGAAATAGCGATGGAGCGGAGGGGCTATTTTTAGACACTTCAGGAGGTAGTTGGAAAGAATGCCAAACTATTGCTTCTAAATGATGTAAGGAAATACGCTTTAGTGGAGAAAGATTATATGAATATATCAAAGAGAAAACAGTGAACAGATAGCAACTTCCTCAAAACAGGTTACCCATAGGCTATGTGGAAAATTTTACAAAAGTAAAGTTTCAGAAAGTAAAAAAAAAAAAAAAAATCAGAAATTGTAGAGGATTTGAAAGAACTAGAGACCTACAGTTGATATGAAACTGGTGATTGATGATAAATATATTAACAGGAATTATGCATGGTTCCCTTTGTTTAATATTATTTTTCTGTTTTTGACATTCCTAGCTATAAGTTTTTCAATTTCTACATCTGGTGCCTTTCAGGTAACTTGATTTGAGTTTGTAACGTCGTAAGTCTTGCTGAAAATGCATTCAATGCATTTTCCATTTGATAGTATCTTCCAGGCTTTGACTCAGCCTGTGTTTTCTAACAAACTCTCTTATCATTTTTTTTCTCCTACACTGAATTTTTTTTGATATGTTCTTTAACAAGTTCAAGAAAAGCAGATCAAACAATAGCTAGACTAGTGTGGTTGGGCTTTGTATTTGGTCCCATTGCTGTTAAAAGATTAATTAATCAGATACATATTAGTTTGTGACTGCCAGTTGATTACTAGAGAGTTATCATTTGCTTTGAAATGTAGGAATATTTAATGTAGTAATTACACAGATATTTCACACCCAAGATCACACCTTCTATTTCTATTCCTTGGCCTTCTGAGTTTTGTGCTTTTGAAAGAAATGGGCTCTCTGGAGCATGACAAATTTGATTTAAAGGTATTTGCAACAGGATGTTATTTTCTGTCAAAAGCTAATGCAACTGTAGGTTCTCTCAGTTTGGAACTCATGGACTTGGGAATTGCTAAGGTAAATTCTAATCTTAGACCTGTTGGCATGGCAAATATGGAAAAAACCCAGATAATTGCTCAAGAGGAATAGATTAAGGCTGCAGGAACTATAATTAAGACATTCTTGAATTTAGTGAGTTATAACCTGATTTTCAAAAGCAACAGTGGCATTTGCAAATGAGAAAAGAAAAAAATGATAGGATGTAGGAACAAATGCAACTCAGAACTCAGATGTACCAAACTTTGTGTGTGTGTGTGTGTGTATGTGTGTGTGTGAGAGATATTGGTGTGGGTGAAGAAGGTTGTTTTAATTTTTCAGCTATGAACTTTCCAGAATGAAAGATCAAATCTCTGAAACAATGAAGGCAGGATGCCCAGAGAAGAAAGTAGACCCTAAGTGCTCCCTAAGACTGTATGGCATGTTAATAAACATGTTTACAGATACAGCAATTCCACTTCTGGATATGTATCTGAAGAGAATAAAAACACTAATGTGAAAAGATATCTCTACCTTTATGTTCTTGCAGCATTATTTACAATAGTTAAGGTATAGAAACAACCTAAGTGTCCATCGATGGATGAATGGATAAAGAAAATATGGTATATATGTATGGTGGAATATTATTCAACCATAAAAAGAAGGAAATTTTTCCATTTGCAACAACATGGTTGGATCTTGACAGCATTACGCTAAGTAAATGAAATAAATCAGAGAAAGACAAATACCATATGATCTCACTTATATGTGGAATCTAAAATAAAATTCCCACCCCCCCCCAAAAAAACAAACCCCAAAAAACAAAAACCCTGAGCTCACAGATACAGAGAACAGATCGGTGATTGCCAGAGGTGGAGGTGAGGGATGGGCAAAATGGTTGAGCTTCCAGTCATAAAATAAGTCATGGGGGTGTAATATATAGCATGGTGACCACAGTTAATACATTGTAGTGCATATTTGAAAGTTGCTAAGAGAATAGATCTTAAAAGTTCTTATCACAAGAAAAAATGTTTGTAACTATGTAAGGAAATGGATGTTAACTGGACTTATCATGATCATTTCACAATATATACAAATATCAAATTGTTATGTTGTATACTTGAAAATAACACAATGTTATAAGTCTCATTTACCTCAGTAACAAAAATAAACATGTTTACATAGTATGAAGTGTGTCCTCTGGATTTGGGATATAGCGCAAGTCACAAAACTTGGACTCAAAGCTCAATCATATTTTTGGATGTGTCATTTCATTTCTGTCTTCCCTTTCATAGAACATGGTTTGCTATGTATTTATAATTCATTCTTTACTGTTTACTCAGCAATGAATTGAAGGAAATTCTTTAGTTATCTAAGATCTGGTTTTGAATCTATTGCAGAGCCCTACTGTTCTATGCAAGTTATTCTATCTGCTCACTTTTCAGCATTCACAAAATGGGTGTTTCCAAGGAGCGAGTCAATTACCTATTTCCGTGAGGAAAATGGTATTAGGGGTGGAGCTTAATATACCAAACTACATCAAAGGGTCTGTAGCAGTCTGGGTCTAATCGGGAGATAGAAACCATATAGGAGGTTAAACAGAGGAAATTTGATATAAGAATTTTTAACTCTAATAAGAGAGTAAGTATAACTCTAAGTAACTTTATATAGTACCTAAGGGCTGAGGGAGAATTCCTAGGGAAAGACACATTTGGAAGGAGTTCAGACTTGAATAAAATGTGCTTTGGCTACCTAATAGCAGAGAAGTTGGCTGACATGGAGTTGTAAGCAAACATCAGGCGGCATTCTGGAGTGCATGCAGGTGGGGAGCAGGTGATCAGCAACATGTCATATGGGCATGTGCTAGGGGTCTGGATGTCAGCAGGGGCAGAAGGCTTTCAGTGTGAGGGATGCACTGGGGATGGAGGTGGGTGGGTGAAGGTTTTCAAGAGAGCTGAGGACGGGTCATCCCCAGGCCAAGTTGCAAGGTTGTGAGGGATCATGTTCTGGTCGTTTGGCATGGGCAGGCTCCATCTGGACATGGCGGATGCCGACTTGCCTTCCTTACCCGCCTACCTATGCTGAGAATTTCTGGAAGCCTCTTCCTCTTGCAGTGTCCTTTCATTACCCTCTGTTGGGGGAGCTTACTATATACTCACCCTAAAGGCAAAATGTTTGAAGGAATTCATGGGTGGTTTATCATAAAGCATTATATTCAGGGATGTGTTTGGATTTGTGAAGCAATAAAGTGATAACACGGGGTCCGAGAGCAGTAAAGAAGGTCAATATCAGCATTTCAAAAAACATTGGTGGTTCTTTTCCATCTGTGGAAGGAGAGCCCTTAAGAGAATGCTGGCAAACAACCTTTTTTCTCTTGTTGACAAAAGACTCAAAAACTTTGATATCTTTTCAATGTGTTACAGCATATTAATTTGTGCATTTATATAAAGTGGGGCTATTTCTTATCTGTATTTTTTAAAATTAAATGCAAACCTTAGAGAGAGTCATATTCAAATAAGCATGTCCAAATAACCACAAGTAATGAAACATTCAGCCTCTGGAAAACAATAAAGGTGGATGCAATTCATAAACCCGGGGAACACTTCTCATGTCCCTTTTCCCTCTACGGCATGATTCTCTTTCATATCGTGTTATGTTGGAGCCTCTCGTCTGTGACCCTCCACTCCCACAGAATAAATCCTCTTTTTCTCTGAACCCCACGACTTACTCTCTTATCTCCCGCTCTCCTCTTTCTCCCTCAACTTTGTCTCTCTTTCACTCTCTTCTACTTAACTTTTTCTTTTCTCCTTAGGCTTTCCTCTCTGGGTTCTGAGCTTCAATTGCCCTCTGCCCATTTGCTAATTCGGCCTTGCCAGACAGAGACCTTGAACTAGTTTGTCAGAGAAGCTCCTCACAAGGCAGAAGCGGAAGGAGCAGCGGGAGGGGTGTCTCATTCCTTCACTGAGGTGGGAGGGGAGGCTGGGAACCTTAACTGATTATAAATCCTATCCCCTTCACACTTTCTCCTCATCAATCTTTGTTGACTCCTGTGAAGAGATATTCAATATTCAGTATTTAAATGTTCTTCTACAAGTTCTTTGAATTTACAACCTGAGGCCACCCTATTCTTTCTCTTTACTGGGCTGTACATCATTTCTCTTGATTCCTTGGAAAGGACAGCCAGGTGAAGTGTGAGCATTCTCTCGCATGCGCGAGAGGGCACACAAACACACGCACACACTCACGCAAGCACGCACATTCACACATCATTCTCCCTTCTAGAAAACCTTGAACATCCATATTAGCATTTAAATTCTTTGCCCTCTAGTATCTTTGCTCCTTAAAACTTGCAAAGAAAATGTATTCTCTTAGTAACCGTATTCCCAGTTCCACGTTCTTTTGAAGCGTTCTTCTGCATAGGCGAGCACCAGCAGGAATGCTGGGAGTGGCCCCTGGGTGGGCACTGAGATGCAGTTTGTGTGCAACCCTACCACATTGGAATCACATGAGAATACACAGGACTCCTTGCAGAAACTTCGGGCAAGTTTTACTTACTTGCAAACTAAGAAACTTAACTAAACTAATTAATTTTCTGCAAGGAGAGCGAGAATGAGAGAGAGTACATGAGAGGGGGGAGGGTCAGAGGGAGAAGCAGACCCCCCGCCGAGCAGGGAGCCTGATGCGGG